TAGGCGTCTGCTCACTCGCAGCTGTAACAGGGTGAAAGGCGCTAACGCAGCCATAACCGCCAGGTGGGGACCACAGCGATGTGTCCAGTCGCTGCCAGGGGCTCCACAGGCCCAACTTCTCAGTTTTCTCCACTTGGCTAGCCCCTCAGGATTCAAAGGGCCTCTCCTTGGGGATCAGACACAGCACCCTTCCTCCAAGCAGCTTCACCAAGGGTGTCTTCTTGAGCAGGTAGTAGGGACCAAAAAGAAATTTTAAAGGAAGAAGTTTGAAACTAAGACCTATGCCTCCACTTTGCTGTGGCCAATATCCCATTCTGCCCTGGACTGAGAACTTCCCTGAGTCACAGGAAGCAACAAAGCTATGACCATCTCGTGCAAACTGGGATGATTCACCACCCTACCAGCTTCTTTTTCAAGGTTGAGCAGGTGGCCGGACACATGGGGCCTAACAGATGGCACTATTTTGTTAATCATTACAACGATGAAGACTTGGCAAAATTACACGTTTCCTGTAGATAATACTGCATATTGAAATGAAGAGTTTTATTTCACTGCAAATTACCCGGGCTGTTAAGTACTTTGAGAAGCTTTTTCTCAGTGCTGTCGCCGCGCCTCTTCCTCTTCCTTCCTATCATGGCTGTGCCCAACGAAGTTGCCCGTGTCCTTGTCCTCAGAGCGTTGTACTACTAGTTCCCATTCAAAGCAATTAGCTCACTGAGACGCAAAGAAATATTTCTGAAGCAAGTTTTAATTAACCCCAGCAGAAGTAAGGACGGAGAATACAGAGAACAAAATCTAAACCAGGCATGAGAAACTGCTTCTCTGGGACGCATGAAATACTCTTTTCCATCAGAAGCCTAAACTTTATTCACAATACCCTGAGTCACTGCCATCGAAGAAACGGGCTACCAATCGTACTTCTCTTAATTAATAAGGAGCAATAAAAGACTTGAAACGGGGTGGTTTCATTTGGACATGGTACATACAACTGGTTGGGTAGCGACAACAAAAAAAGTGCCTTAAACTTTAAGAAATGCTACAGGCAGCAGCCAGTTACAGTTCTAGAGGTAATTATCAGACACTGTCTTTCTATCCATCAGCAATATCTCCAGCTTCTATTTTCTGGCCTAAAGAGTTAAGAAACCAACTGTTTTGCATCTTCACTTGCTGCCTGGCTAATTTCCTTGGACGCCTTTCGGCTCCCTCTGCATTCCCTAGACCCGCCCAGTTTCCTTTTGGTCTCTGACCTTTATCCTTACTCACTTCCTGTCTCAGGTAAACTTCCAGCCTGGGGCAGAGCTGTGAGCCTGCAAGTCTCTCTGCTGCACCTCCTCCCTCATCCCCTCCCTTCTTCCCAGATATTACTCATTAACAATCCTACACCATCCTGACTTGGGGCGACTGCTCCAAGAACTCGATTTCTCCTCTCAGCTAAGAAAATGCTGGGGAAATTTCAGGTGGACAGTAAACCTCGCTAACATACGACCTGTGGTAAACAAGTAACATTTTGGCTAAAGTGTATCTACATGCTTTTTATTCCATTCTAAAAAGGGTTTACTGAGCTAATTAACAATAGACTGTTAAATAATAGAGGTGATTATCCTTCTTTATAGATGATGTAATGTTTTGCATCTAACACACATGATAAATGTATAATTTATTTATTTTATAACCTTCTACAAGTTGGCGAAGGTAATTTTTCAAAGCACTGGCACTATTTTTATCTTAACGAGCAAAGTTACAATTATCTGTTGGCATTCATATCTGAGATTACATTTTCACTCAGTATTTGGCTATTATGGCATTTATTACATCTGGCTTATCATGTTTCATGTTTCACAGTTTTACTAAATCTGATTTGCTGGCGCATTGGTGAAAAGAAACCACACTTGTCACGTGCGTATAAAACTTTAAGAAGCATTATTACTACTAGTAAAGCATGATGCCTTCGTCAATTCTTTCATTTTTCCCTTAATACAGATCTCCCTTCCTTTTTGAAATTGCGCGTAAAGCCACTTTGTTTTCATGAAAGACCTACACTGGTACCCCTCTTCACTAACTGAAAGCAATCTGAAGAGGATTTTCACTTTATGAAAAAGGGCGAAAGGTGTTTTGCCAAAGGTTCGGCAGCGAGGCCTACGCAGGCAGCGTGCGCCTGAGCAGCGAGAGTGGCCGGGCGGGGCTCCTTCCACGGTGACCACCCGACTCCACCTCCGCTCAAGGCACCAGCGCTCCGGACTGCGTCTGGGAGCACCTGCGCTTGCTGTCCACAACACTGCGCGTCCCTCGGCAAGAAGTGCCTGAAGGTCTCAGGAAAGCCCAAGAGAGACGGTAAGCGTGTTTGCTTAGCGTAAAACCGGACGTAATTAAGCATATTTGATTTAGCAGGTTATTTTGGGGGGTCTGGGAACACTCAAAATTTTTTCCATGTAAATTAATGGTGATTGCTTCTTTGCTCTATGCCATTTTGGCTTACGGAAAGTTTCACGGGAACACTCTAATTTTGGATATTGGGGAAACCTATATCCCATAAATCTTTGGTACCTACAGGTTTATACAGTCGATGAGAAAGGTAGAAATTCAATAAAACCATTAACTAGCTTAATAAGGCTGGGCAATCACGAAGCAAATAGGTCATACTGTTTGGATAATCCATTTGTTTTCAGTAAGAAACCATTTTGCCTGATTTTATATCCCCAATTGGCAAGCTGATAATAGGACCCTAAAATTATTGTTTAAAAAGCAGAACTGGAAATTAATCTGTCGTGAAAAAGTTTCATTATGGCAAATATATTTCCACTGAAGGAGTAGTAGGAGAGACACAAATAAGCCAAAACAAAGTAAATTTTAAAAGAATATTATTTGACTTTGGACACTGTACCAATACCTAGTGATTTCCCCTAAGATTTTGGAAATATGGGAATTAAGACCGCTCTCTGAGGAGGGGTAGGAAATCCTTGGATTTAAAATACACCGTAGATCATTCTTAAAGTAGACACAGTTACCATTCACTGCACAAAGACTGCATATTCAAACGCAGTACCACAGTGTCTCACGCACAGAGGCCCTCACCTCTGCACGTGGCACTTGCCCAGAAAAACCCTGCTCGGGGGTATCTTGCCGCCTCTCCTCTCTGCAGCTGCACCAAAGAGCCACCCACTGCAGGAGAAATCTTGTAAATCATCGGCATGGCACAGTTTACATCCATAACCACAAACGTGCCAAGTGCTCTCTGCACAGCGTGCCCATCCCTCCAGGGCTCCTCACCCTGGCTCTCCCTGCCCGCTCACGGAGGTAACTTTGGGATCCTCTTCTCCTCCGACCCCTACACGCCGAGCCCTAAGAGCAGGCTGCCTTGTCCCCCACTTCACTAGAATAACAGAAGCCATCGGTGGGACTTTCCCTCTGCCTGCACCATCAAAGTATCAACGGTCTCTAGAGCTGTACCTATCCCTCCTTCGAAGGTGGATGCTGGATCTGCGCTGCGGCCGCACCCCGCACCCCCTCGGGTGGACCCGCCTCCCTCAGGTTCCATCCCCCTGCTGTTTAACCGCTGCTCACCTCCTTCGGCCGCGTTATCCTCATCATCGTACAAACAGGATCCACTGCCCCCAATACCTTACAGTGTCTCTCGTGACTCCACATCCCCTCCAGCTACGACCTTGTTTCTCTGACCCAGTGGAATTCTGGCTCTGGAAAGACTTGTTTATCTAGTCTACAGTTTCTCAACATCTGTTTTGCTCACTCCCATACGGCTTTCTGACCTCACTGCTCCACCAAAACTTCTTAAAAAAAGATACCAATGACCTACCTCCTTCCACAATGCCAAATACAACAGACACCCCAGCTCCTTCTTTTTCACTTGACCTCCTAGCAGCATGTAACTTAGTTGATTGCCCACACCTGCCGGTAACTCTCCCCTCCTGGCTTTTGTGACATCACCCTCTTTGGGGTTTCCAGTTCTAGGCTTCTCCTCAGTGCCCATTGCTAAGCGCTCCACCTCCACCTAACCTTGAAATGCTCCAGTTCCTTAGGTCTAGGCCCCTTTATCTTTCCCTCTCCCCCACTCTGTTTCTGAGTGACCTTATCATTGCCCACCATTTTTAAACGCATGTCTACAGGGCCAAAATCTCCAATACCAACCTCCCCCACCCCGAGCTCTAGACATGCCTGTTAATCTACACACTTAATCTACAGTTGGACATTGCATGAACATCTCAAACTGAACATGTCCAAAATTTTTTTTCCCAATTTTTTAATACTTAATTTTTATCGCTCTACTAACCAAACTGTTTTCCTTTCCTCTCCCATCTCCATAGCCTCCATAATTGTCAGTCATCCACCCAGTTGTTCAAGCCATGAATCTACACGTTGTCATTGACACTTTAATTCACACACCCCGCCACCCAGTTGGAAATGATCACCTCGCACACAAAAGTATATTCCCTCTCCAAAATATATACCACACCTGTCTACTTCTCTCCATCTCCACTGTAGGAATATTTTACTGGTCGTTAATATTATTCTGAATTTAATGGCTTGGTTTCAAAACATTACGTAACATAGATGTTCCATAATGCATTTATGTCTTTATCCAGGGGCAGGTTTTAGTATTTTGAATGTTGCATATGTACCTTTCTGAAAACATCAAGGTATTGTCAAATATGAAGATTAAAGCTTATCCATAGTTTAATTTTGATACATACTGCCAGGCTGTCCCGAAACAATTCACACTCCTACCCACCACACACAGGGGTGCTCTCTTGCGTGAGGGCACATCGACCTGCAATCGCTGTCTACTCAAGAATTCCTAGATTTCCCAGCCAAATCTGCACAGTGCCCCCGGAACTCTGCAGGAACTCCCTCCGTCCAGCAGGTGGCGACATCGCCTTCCGCCGGGGTTGGGTCGCCACGGAGGCTTCACGTGATCCAGTCGTCCCTGCGCCTGAGGGCGGTCTTGCGGAGATTGCCTTACGTAGGCCGCGCCATGACGTCACACGTAGGGGCTGGCTAGCCGCCATCTTGCTTCTTTTTCTCGCTCGCTCTCTACCTTTCGGGCGGCAGCGAAAGTGCTTTCGCGGTTTGTCCATCCGCAGCTGCGGCTCTGCCAGTTCTGTAGTCCTTCGGCCACTCCTTGCGCTTAGCCTCCCCCACCCCTCCCCTGGGTCAGGGGTCGCGGGGACCCTGGAAGTGCGCACACACACTCGGCTTGACACCCTGGCCGGTAAGAAAAGCAGCGCGGGCGGAGGGGCCGCGATCACCGCGGGCGGGCGGCCGTGGGAGCACCCCGAGACGGGGAGTCGCGTGGAGAGGGCCTGGGGCCCGGGCATCCCGTCCCTTCTCTGCACGACCTCCCTCCCCGTGCCGGGGAAAGTCTCGGCCTCCTCCTCGGTGAGCGGGAAACCGGAGTCAGACCCGCCCCATGTGGTCTGCCGCGGGAGTTCCGGACCTGCCGGCCTCTCCCACCCGCCCCGCTCGGCCCTGCGCGGGGACGGCGCGCGTGGCCGGGGAGGCGAAGGGGGTTTCCGCCCCGCGGGATGGGCGGGCGCGCGGCCTCTCCCCAGCGTACCCCCGACCACTCCGGGGCTCCTCCAGGGCCCTTCCTGCCTGCCTCTCGTGCGTGTGTCGGTGCGGGGGGGGGGGGGGTGGAATTGCAGCCAGCGGGGTCCGGGAGACCGGGTTACAGACCTGACTCGGTGAGAGGCGGGCAGGGGAATCGGGGCCGGCGCTGCTTCCGCTAGGAACGCGCAGCCCCAACTCGCGCGGAGGGTTCGTGCAGGCCTTCGCACCCTAGGCCTCTCATCCCCTAACCTGCGCGGTCAGTCCCTCTCTGCGGCTCCCCTACTTTGAGTTATCAGCAGTGTTATCTGTGTTACCGTCAAGGCCCACTGTAGGGCTTGAAGGAAGGGGCCGGGGGGCCAATAGGAACACGGATGAGTCCTTCGTTGGCCCGAGAGGAATGCGTCAAATTCCTGTAAAAGGATGTATGTCTGTTTTGACTTGATTTGAGACTTTTGGGGGGGAGATTTCCGACTTGCCTGATGTTTGCTGGCCTCTGAAGCCGGCCGGATTTCCGCATTGGCTGGTCTTCAGCCTAGGCGCATAGATTCTTACCTCGCTAGGGTATTTGAAATTGTATGTACTGTAGGCGGCTCTGCTGTGAAATTTCATTTGGAATGCACCAGAAGCATCAGGATCCTTGATTAAGTGCTCGATAGCTTATTCCTGCAAATAAAAGGGATACTTAAGCGCCCACCAAGCCTACCTCCGGCATATGTTAAAAGTATATTTACTCTCCTCTATTGGTAATTAAGATGCTGCTCCGACTGGAGCCATTTTTAGGCGTGTGTCTCAGATGCACTGCAGCGTCTTTTCTGACCCCCCTCAAATGCATTGATCTCCTAAAACCATTAGGGATAGGTTGAATTTGAATTTTATCTTTAGCAAATCGTCAGATAGTCAGTCTCTCCTTTTTTATACAATGGGATTCTCAGAACACAGATTTTTTTTTTACTTTTTTAAATATTTTGGTCTGGTGAGCTTATAGATGTGGCTGCTCTCCCACCACTGTTAGTTGACCTTTTTCTGTGTGCTGAACACAGTGATCAGCCCTTGACAGGCATTACCCTTTTTAATCTCACAGCAAACCTTTCAGGGAGGTGCTGTTAATTATCATTCCCATTTTACAGACGAGGAAGTGAAATCAGAGATGAAAGCAGTTTGCAGTTATTGGTGGTGCTGCAGAGAGTCAAGTCCAGACGGTCTGATCCCAGGGCTCTGAGTCTAAACTATCAAACTGCTTCCCTGTTCCGAGGAGCTTTATGAACTATGGAAACATTAAAATACAGCATTATTAACCTAGTTTCTTCCGCCTGGCTTCGGTATAGAAACATTGTTACATGTGAAGGTGTAAAAACTGGATTATAGCTATTTTGGGGATGGGGTAGAAGCTAATTTTTATACCCTTTTCTATTTAAAGGTCAGGTGAGTAAAACTAATTACAGTGTGACAGGTAAAACTTCTAAATTTTGTGATCTGGCTTATGTTATTGATACATTATTTCCCCATCTGTGAAATGAAGATGATGGTAATAATAGCACCTCCCTAGAAGACTTGCTGTAGGAGTAACAAAAGGTAATGTAGGTAAAGAGTTTATTATGGTGCTCAGTACACAGCAAAGGGTCAGTAAGTAGTGGAGGGAGAATGGCAGAATATTGGTTTTAAAAAAAAAATGCTCTCTCCCAAGCAGTAAGTAAATTCATATGGGGGGGAGGGGGCTTGTCCAGAAAGTATCCAGCCGCATACAATGAAAAATGAGACTTTCAAGAAGATACAAGAAACAGTGTATATAGGACAATGACACCTCAGTCCCCTTCAAAGTAGGCACCGTACCTTGGGACCTCACACAGTTCTCCCAATAGCCATCAGCTGCCCCATCATATTTTCCTGAATCTCATCGATGGTCTCTTCCCTTTCAGAGGTGATTTTAGTTTTGGAAGAAGCCAGAAGTCACAGGGCACCAAATCTGGGCTGTAGAGGGGCTGGAACACCTGGGTGATTTGATGTTTTGTGGAAAAAACTGCACAAAACGTGATGCATGAGCTGGTGCGCCGTCCTGATAAAGCTGCCAATCACCAGTTGCCCATGGCTGCAGCCTTGAGTCTTCCAGATAGTTTTTGCAGAGGAATGTCCATGCCTAATGCAAAATTGGATGCAGGTTCTTTGCTCTATTTGCTAAGTCATTTTGAATGTTACAGCCACACAGTGCACATGCTCACTCAACAGCATCTACCACGCCCACTGACTAGTACGGTGAAGCTCTAGGTCATGCACGCACATTCCGGTCCACTTGTCTTGACTGCCACGTTGCATCGATGTCTCAAGCCTTTCTCATTATGTTCTGGCTGGACTTTTTCCGGACAGGCCTCGTGTTCTCCCAGCAGAATATACACTCTTTGGAAATTCAAGAAATGGGTTTTGTTCTCTTTTTTTAAGGCTTTTTTCCACACATCTGTACTGGATTTTGTTTGTTAAAGATGTCTTCTATGCTGTATAGTTTGTAACCCTGGAATCAGTATGTTACATGTAGCTGAAATACAGAAGTTCTAGCTCATTCCAGCCCCAGTTCCCACCTACCCCTACTCGATCTCACCATCCTTACTGGTAAAATGTCTTTGAAGAATGTTATGTCCCTTTTTCCCTCTCTCCAGTGGTTTCCTCCCACCCCCCAAACAGCTTCAGTTTGTAAGTCAGCTGAACAATTTGTACCAATATTAGTACCATATTTGTGGTATGAGACAAGGACCAATCTTTGATACACATGTTACACAAATGGGTACAGAATCCTATTCTTCCAGTGAACAAGATCCAAAAATTGTCTGACCGAGTTATGACTAATGTACTTCCAGTAAATCAAGATATGTCACCTTATAAATAGGGTAACACAGTGAAAGCATATCTCAGTCTGTTAAATGTAGCTTGGAAGTCTTGAGAATTAATTAGTTTGCTGAGTCACAACATTTTGAATTTCTCAGTAATGCTGTTGATGCATCATCAGTCAAGACATCTTTGTGAGTAAAAGTATTCTCTAAAGAGGGGTAACTTCAGTAAATTTTCTGTAGCATGTTTTTTACCAGCCTCCAGAAAGGCTAAGTAGATACTGATCTTTTGCTAGTTGTATTTCTAGTTGTTATTTTGCTCTAGATTAACAGAATGCCGGTCATGGTTTGGGACTTCTTTGTGCACATATTTGCTCACGAGTCAGATCAGACAAGAGCTATTACTGAGTTTCAACACTTGTCTAGTTGGGAGACCAAAAACTTCAATATGGTTGGCCGATACCTTGAGTCTGAGCGCAAAACAGCGGGGAAGTTGCCGGCCCCCGTGGCACTGCTGGTGCTCCGTGTCCCAGGAGGGCGGGGTGTGACTGCGTTCAAGGGGCACAGCTGCTACTGAAGGCTCTTTTGGGTGGTCTTTCCATAGCATGTTATCTGGTGATTTTCTCTCTACTTGTCTGTATTCCAGGACTGGTCTCTTTTGTAGATTGTTTCCATGTCCCCATCACCTAGCGTGGTGGTTGGCGTGTACCTAGATGTTACTGAATGAACAGATTGGGATTCAGAAGAATAGACCCACAGCTAAGGTGCAGCTGCTGACTGTCTCAGTGGAGCAAAGGAATACCCCGTCGCTTTTCCCCTTTCTTTACCCGTTAGAATTATATCCAAGCTTTGAAATAGTGTATGCACTGTGCATCGCGAGATTTTTTTTTTTTTTTTTGCCTCGAAGATTTGTTGAATTTTGTAAGGCCCAGTAAATCAGAGAGGACTATGGCTTTTGGTTCCCAGTACTGAGATGTTCACGGTCTTAAGAATTAATGATAAAAGTTACTGCATGATTTTTTTTTTATTTGTACCTGAAGATAAAACTGAAAATATACAAACAGGTAAGGGAAATTTGGGGCAGAAAATCCACCTATGGAAAATTGCCGGTAGTATAGGCTGAATGCCCAGGTGATGACACGGGCGGTCCTGATGGCCAGCAGAGATCAAGAGTGATTGTAATTACTAGTATTTGTTGAGTACTGACCATGCCAGGCACTGAGCTAAGAACATTTTGTAGATTGTCTCTTTCAATCTATACAGTAGGCTTTAGGAGGAGGATCATTGCATCCCCATTATACAACTAGAAAACCAGGATTTAAAGAGATGTAAGTAATTTGCTCAAAATTACTTGGCTAGTGTGTGGGATTCTAATCATTGATCCAGAGCCTGAGAGCCTAACTTCTGTGCTCCATGGATGTCCCAGTGGCCAGTATTTCTCACACAAGCCATTCACAATTTTTGAATTCAAACCATCTTTTATCTTCAAACTATCTGTCTGTTAATACCTTTATTTAATTCAACTGACTATCTTAATTAAAAGAAAACTTTGCATGATTATTTAGCTTTACAGTTTCTTCCCGACGTGTTTTAAAGTAAACGTCATGTTAAATATTCCTCTGTGGACCACTTAACATCCTTATGATAGACCCTCCGTTGTCTTGCATCCCACGCTTGGGGACGTAGCTGCTGAGGAGCGAGCGCTGGACAGGCACGGGCAGCTGGGGACTGAGGAAGGCCAGGAGCGAGTAAGCCCGGGCCGGAATGGACTCCTGAAAGAGGGAATGGCCGCATCGAGGGGCAGAGAGGCCGGGCGGAGCCTCGGCTGCGGGACTGGGGCAGGCAT